ACTCCCACACACATCAGTGCCTCTTTTCATCTCTGTGGTTTGTGTTTGTGTGGGAGTGTTAAGGGAGTTCCTGATTATTTGCATTCTTCACAACACTGTTTAATAACACTTTGAGGAAAAATATAAAAAGCCTTTCACTATTTTTCTACCCTCAGGTTCACCACAACTCCAGCCCCACATCACTTCCTTCCTCTCCACCTTTTCCCCTATTACTTCACTTCTTTATTTGACTTTTATTTTCCAGCCCTGGTCGCTTCTTTCCCTCTCTGTGTTCTCACAACTTCAGCAACCTCTCTTTCTACAAACTAAAAAATATCAATTACTGCTTGTACTCAGAAAAAGCATTGGCTCTTTTCCTGTGGACAAACCCTAACACACACACACACACACACACACACACACACTCTCTTTCTTTGTCCAGGCCTATTTAAAGAATCATTGTGCTCATAAAGATAAGCCTCAGCAGCCTACAGGGCACTACAGAGCTCCTGATAAGGTAGGTCTACAAAACTGTACAAACTGAATTTACACTGAAAAGCATCCAAATAGAGACAACAATAGGTTGGGGGTGTCTCAATTTTAAGTCACACCTTTTTAATAAAAAGATTTTGTTATTAATCTCTGCTTGTTCAGACAAATCCTGGTAGGAAATTGAAATATTACAGATTTTTCTATTTCAAAGTTTCCTAAATAAGCATTTGCTTTGCAGGTTAAAAAGAAAGAAAAAAAAAAAATCAGCATTTGAGTGACTGTGGGTTTGCTCAGTCTACACCGGCACTGAAATCTTCTCACAGCGTTTAAACCATATTTTTCCACTGTTCATTTCAGAAACTGTAGAGCGAGGTGATGCGAGGTGCAGTAGATGTGACAGATGGAGGAGGCAGCGAGAGCAGCACATAGATGAACGATAAGCCCAAAATCAGAAGAGCCACATACAAAGATTCATATTGTGATAATGAGAATGGGGACAGAGAAAGGGGAGGATTTGGGGGGGAGGAAACAGAAGTGGAACTAAATAAGACAAAAAAACAACACAATCACATCAGCCAAAAGCATGTTATTGTTAAGACACGCAACAAAAACCAGCACAGGAATACACAAGACGGCTGTATATTGTGTTCCGCTTGGACCAAAAAGCGACTGGTAGACAATGAGGATGAATAAAGATTCATATCTAGCAAAGTGAGAGCACAGGAGAAGTGGAGTACCTATTTATGGGAGGACTGTCACCGGACGACGGAACACACTCGCGGCGAGGGAGGGGAGTCCCAGTCGGGCAGCCAACCAATGGGAACAAGAGAGGGGAGAGGATTTGGTGAATAGGGTGAGGAGGGGTGGGAGGTTGTCCGAGCTTGACGGTTTAATCTGTGGGGTCATGATATCTTTGTGATGAGCATCAAACACCAACCATCAGCTCACATGGCTGGCAAACTGTGGTGCGGGTTAGCAAGCTGGGTCAGGCAGCATTTTATATCAGTTTGAACAGGATTTTATTTCAACCTGCGTTCACTAGCAGACAGGTGGAGTTTACTGGAGCAGGGAAATTTGGGTTATTTAGGTGGAAGCTTGGGTTTCACTTCAGTTCATCTCAGTTTATTTCAGACAGTAAGGATCAAGTTTTACTGTCCTCTCTGGTCTGTTGCCTGACTCCAAACATCACCAACAGGGACACGTTAAACCAGCGGAGGTCAGCAAAAACAAGATTTTCAGCTGCTCTGTATAAAGATGAAAATAAATCAATTGGAAGGAAAAAATAAATGTATACAAAATGCTAATACTGATGAGATTGTAACAGAAAACTCTGAGCTTTGTGACTATGGAATATTGAATACTGTGGCATTCTTTCATCCTCCTTCCTCCAATTGGAAAACAGAGCTGAAACATCACACTTTTAGAATATAAACAATTTAGAAACTATTGTATACTGTAATGTGCACTAGTAGTAGATATTTTTATATTTGTGTTATTTCATGTGCAAAAAGTGTGACTTCAAAATGCAATTACATCGAATGGACAGAGTAAAACACAATTTCCCTAATTACAATGGTTTACGATATCATTTCAGCAAACTCCCTCCTGTCTCATAGTCAAACAGGATTAAAATAAACTAACAATCACGTGGGTGAGGCTGTGAGTTGTAAGGAACACAAGAGAAGGAAAAATAAGAGTGGGAAAGGACCAGTTCACTCCTGTTTCTGTCACTCATGGTAACAGACAAACACACACACAAGCCTGGAGAATCTCTGAAATGACTGTTTCCAGTGGAAACAGCATATCCCGCAGTATTAGACAGCAGCATTAATAAAAGAACATAATCAGAATGAACAAGGTGCATATAAATGGCAGAAAGCACTGATGGTCGCAGGCAGACACTCTGCACACAGTGTTTGCCTTCGGGCCTGGCTAAAGCAACAAAACAAAAACAAAAGACAACTCTAAATCCCACTGACATCAACTGACTAGACATCTTGAATCATCAGGGGTGGGTTTATCCTCCACTACAGCCCTGATCACTTATAATCCCATATCATCCTATATCAGCCATGTAAACCAGCCATGGAACAGGGAAGTCCAATGTGTCGAGGATGCTTGGGTCATTCGACAGACACATGTTAGATCTGTGGGATCTATAAATACGATTCATAAGAGCTGCCATTTTTATGCACCAAATCCATTGCAAGATATACAACTTGTCCAGTTTACAGCAACTCAATGGACCATTAGTGAATCTTTACATATTTTAATACGCGGACACTAAAGCCCCTTTTCCACCGCCTGGTACCGGCTCAACTCAACTCGACTCTACTCTACTCACCTTATTTGTTTTTCATCAGTCAAATGCTGGGACAGTACCCGGTACTATTCCTGGCATCACGTCCGTCGAGGTTCCCAGTGAGCTGAGGTGATACCAAACGGTGATGTGTAAACACTGCCGACTACTGAGTGGTCAGAGAAATTTGTGACTACTACACTGTGATGACACCAGTTGCTTGTTCTTCATTCATTCATAATAGCAGCTCCCACTTCTCTCATGAGCATTATAGAAGGTAAAATCTATGGTGACAAAGGCCTTGAGCCTCTGACACCATATAATTATAACCATTATATTACATGAACCACCACATTGTACATCTCATCATGTAGCCCATAGGGTACTGAATGTGATAATATGAGCACAATAGCTAAAGCTATGCTTGCTAAGTAGAGCTAGCTAGCTGGCTGGTTTATTAGTGGGTCATCACATCTCAGAGCAGATCTCAGAACATCAGAGCAAATTTCTAAACTGACATTACTTGGATGGATTAACCACATATTTGAAAACTAAATAGTTATCTTCTCACCTGAAAAACTATCAAAACGGCTTAATAATAGGGTGAAAATTGTAACAGCCTGCCCTGCCACAGCGGGCCAGTGACTTCATGGCAGTTTCATGCAGCGTTGCTGTGCCAGCCAGCTACACTCAGGGGTACTGTAATATCCGCTGTGGAAAACAAAGCACCCGGTACCAAAAACGAGTAGAGCTGAGTAGAGTCGAGTCGAGTCGGTACCAGGTGGTGGAAAAGGGGCTTAAGCCAACCTTCTTATCCAGAGAGATCTGTGATTAGTGAAGGCTGGGGATCAAGGACAATTTGGTCACGATGGCCAGACTGCTGCAGACCTTTTGGTCATTAACAGCTAGACAAACCTGTTACATGTGATATAAACCATGTTAAAGTTAAATCAAGCTCACTGACTTTTAAATGCTAACTTAACATATGCATTCAAACTGTCATGCCTTCGGTATAAAATAGTGACGTGTGCGTGCTCACACAAGTCAGCCTCAACTCAAAAAGACGTGCCTCAGGGAATAGAGAAGCTTCATGCCATTCCAGAGGCGTTTGTATGACAGACATTCAGGGCAACAGACAGCGCTACAACAGGTGGTGAGTGCTGCACAAATCTGAGTGGTGGCTGGCTGGGTGCCATTGGTCTGTTTTATGAACTGTGATCCCAAAAAACAAATACTTTAATTTAGCTGAAACTGCCTCATCAAATAGGTAACTGCTGAAAATGCAATGGTTTAAAAGTTAATATACAGGTGGAATAAGCAGGAAGGCAGCAAAACTTAACTGAACTGGTGATTTTAACTTCAGGGTGACCATTTCTCTCAGAAGCAAGTGTCAAAGCCACACAAACACAATGAATCTCTGAGGCAATGTGAAGTTATGTAACTCAGATTTTTCTTGACAAAACATATCACTGTGGGAAATAAGCCTGTTTTCCATCGGCTGGCACCAGCTCAACTCAACTCTTCTCGCTTTTGGTACTGGGTGCTTGGTTTCTCCCTGCTGATGGTCCCCTCTTGGTGTAGCTGGTTGTCCAGTAGCAGTTAGCGTTAAAATGCTTTTAAAAATGGCACTTTCTTTGTTCCAGGACGTCTTGCATATTGATGATGCGATTTCTCTGACCAGCCGCTAATCTGTAGTGGTTACACATCACCGTTTGGTATCACCTCTGCTCGCTTGGAACAGAGGTGACACCAAAAATAGTACCAGGTACTATCCCCAACATTTTACTGTTGGAAGCACAAATAAGGCGAGTCGAGTCGAACTGAGCCGGTACCAGGCGGTGGAAAAGGGGCTTTAGTGGCATGGCACCAAACCTGCTGGTCGACATTCAACAGGTGTTACAGTAGTACTCTGTAGTAAAGAGGGGACGTGCTTTCACTTGGAAAGGAATGTATATTACTTCTGATATCCTTCTCATTAATAATACAAACCACTTGGTGGGAACTTTCATTAAAGGTTCTTTAAATAGCAGGAAGGATCTACATTTTTAGCATGTGCTCCTAAAGGGCTATAAAATGTTTAACACTGACGGTACCGGTTCTGAATATTTCTCCAGACGATGGAATTGCTGAGACATGCATCTTCCAGTCAGTGATCCTGCTCAACAGTGTCAGTGGAAGTGTGTAGAACAACACAGTATTCACTGCATGGATTTTACAGAATAATGTTCATCACATTGCATACAGTACAATGCTTCATGCTGAGAAGTAAAACTAACAATTCCAAATCAAATAGATTTTCATTCCTACACTAGCTTGAATTTAAAGTTTACACGGTGCTGCTTCATCAAATTAAATGTCATGATCTTATGGCAAATGGTACTTATGAAAAGTACATTAAATTCATTTACTGCAAATGTGTAAATCTGTGCTGCATTTCATACTTTTGGGTTTTTTTTTATCCTAAACCAGCAAATACAGGCTGACTAATCTCACACTTGCAAACCAAAAACAAACAAACAAACAAAAAAAATCACATCAGAGGAATTAATTCAAAAATATGAAACTGCACAGACTAGTCTGTGCAAAAAAACGTACGTACCTTAAAGGCATACTTGCGGTTTATGTGATCCTCAAGTCCCACGGGTGAAATGACATAGCTGGGCAGAGGAATACTGCCTAGGACTGATTCCTAGAAAAAAAGGAAGGGAGCAGATTATCAGGGTGAGGAAGGTGACATATCACTCATCACCCACTAATTTCATCGCTGCCTGCCACCAGTATCATAACACACACATATGCCGTCATTAATACCGTGGTGTGGTGCCAAACAGTAAATGGCCATTCTGGTATCCCAGTGTCACAGAGCTAAAGCTGGCCTGCTCCAGCTGGCAGTTGGCCACCTTTCTTCTGTGGCTGCCCCATCTGGTTTACAAGCCGAGATCAGTGTGAACACACCCTTTAAACATTACATCTCAACCCTATGAACAACAGCGTCCTCACTATCCAAAAGCATCTAAACTGTTAAGGTCTAACACTCAAACTGGTCCTCACAAAGACAGACGTACTGTATCAGAATAGCTCCTTAAATCTTAATTCCTTCACACATGTATAAATAAACATCTACCAAGCATATGTGTTCCACTGAACATTGTGAGAGAACACTGGAGTGTGTATTTGCATGTGTGTGTGTAGATGTGCAACGACTGCCACATCATAAAATTTAGCAATGGTTTAAAAATATTCATTGACAGCACCTGTGTTTGAGTGTGGGTGTTTGGCTGAGAGGTGATAAGATGGCACTGTGAATTTAAGGGGTAATTGGTTAAAAATAATTCAAGGACCTTTGGAGGAGACATTCCTAAAGTGGTGGGCGAGACTTTGAGGACTTTTTATCTGCTCTCCCATGTCTGTCTGACACACACACACACACACACACACAGAGATAAACATACTAAGCAGACCTGACTGTGTCAGGCTGAGTGAGATTACAACCAAACATATGAATGGGAGAATTTGTCACTGTACCCGTGATGCAAAGTGTAAGGTGCAGTGCTGAGATTGTGTGTTACTATCATACAGTATATGAAAAAAGAAAAGAAGATTCTCACATTTCAGTGGCTGGAATCGGAGAATGTGTGGAATTTCTGCTTGATAATTCAAACAATCAGGTAAAAACGGTAGCTAATTGTCTATCAATCAACTCAGTTAATTATCTAATCACATCACATCTAAATATAACAGAGTTACATTTTCTTCCTGTCACACGTCCCATGTTTCTTTATTTGTGTTTATGTATGCATTGCTGGGTGACACTCAGCCTGGAGTCAGAGTTTGAAATACAGTGTGGAATTTTTCTAATTTTAAAATGTAAAAACTCAGGTTTACACCACTCCTACATTTCCAGAAAATTTAAAAATAAAAAAACTAGGCAGGACTCAGAGTGCAACCTCTGCTGGGGGGCAGCTCTGCTTCTCCATAATGCCATAAACAGCAATATTCCCGTGACAGTTTGACCCACATAATATAACTGTTAGTGACACGTTAAAGGTATAGTCAGTGAGTCTAAGTCATGACACATTTTGCCATATTCAAATTTTTCCTCACATTTCTTTGCTTGTGGCTGGCAAATAAAGGATCAGAGTCGGGCTGACAAATCTCAGCCAATCAGAGCAGGAGCACCCTCGCTCCTACTCTGATTGGCCATGTAACTGAAGCACTGGCAATATAGTTTTTTCTGTATTTTGAAAAGTAAAAACATTTGTCCTCAAAAACAAGTCTTTGATCAGTATGTGCTTGTAATTTTAAGAGTAGTCAGTGAATTCCACTTTTATAGCAGCAAACATTTATGACCTCAGCTGTTTCATTCTTCAAATAACATCACAGAAAACAACACAGTCCACCACAACACCGATTCAGCAGCTTGTAACATTCCGGTTTTGTTGAGAAATTCTGAGAGGTGTTGATTCAACTCCATGGTGGGCTGTGCAAGTGTTGTGAATTATATGGTTTCTGGTGTTTCTGTTATTTTGTCCTTTCCTGAATGTATGAGACTGTGAGGAAGTGGAGAACAGACCTGGGAAGTAACTGGGAATTTCAAGGACAATATTTTCTTCATTTGCTTGGTCTAGTCAGCATCATACAGCTGAAGACTCACCTTTGTAGTAGAACAGGCAGAAATCAGCCAAGACAAACCACTTCCTCTTCCAAAGACGCATCCCAGAGCTGTCCTGCAGAAAGAAAGTCAAGGTAGCAAAAGTTGATACTGAATGAACGAACACTGAAATAGAAAGTAGCAAAAACTGAAGGGGCTCACAAGAAAGACGAGTCAGAGACCTTAAACAGGAAGAGAAAGTGGGTAAAGAGCAAGATGAAGGAGACACAAACAGAAACAATATGGATTCAGTCAGGAAACAAGTAATGAGAGGAACAGGCTGGTGTGAACAGGAAAGGGAGCAAGGAAGTGAGCGATCATTTGTCCTTGTTCGCTGGCTCGCGGGGCCTGCCATGACTGCTTCATTGCGTGTTTTGTCTTTTATGATCTCTGACTGATACCGATGCCTTTGGAAGAGGAGGAGAGATGGAAGAGGAATGAAATCATCTCAAACACAGATCTGTACTCATTCTGTGGCCAAACATGCAAGAAGCTAAAACCATGTAACCCAGAGTGTTGGGGGACATGACAGCATAAATGGCTTTCTGTCCATTTGGTTATGATAATGTGCATATTTAGTGCATGTGATTGTGCCTAACATTGTGTGTGTGCGTTTATGTATGCATTTACAGTATGCCCCTGCCAGCATTAATTTGTTTTCCTAATAAAATTTTAATTGCACAGCACTAAAGGACTGTGTATATGAGCCGCTGTGCTGTGCATTTAGCTGTGTGTACATTCATACCTGTGTTACTGTGTGCGCTTGCCTCTGTGTGCGGTCATTAAAATACAGCTGCTTCATCGTAGCATCATTCACTGTTTGTCTTGTATGGAGGCCAAGTGTTTTCCCATGGTATGAAGCCAAATATGGATACTTTAATTATAACTTAAATAAACAGGAATAGCCTGTGATCAAGAACAGGTGCTCCAAAGATCCAAACAAAAAAATTTATATATTAGGGACAATATATCAAATTTGAACTATCGCGATACAAAAAAACAAACAAAAAACATCACAACATGTATTGTTTTGTCGAGGCTGACTCATGTGAAGCAACTTCATATTTTTTGTAAATAAAGATGGAAGATAAGTGAATATATATGGTTGCTCTTTACATAATCAAACCACTGCAAAACCAAAGAGGAAAAAGAGGAATAAAGTATTCCACAGCTAGTCATACATTGTCTTTGACTGTTTAATTGTATCATGATTGAATCGAATCGTACACACCATATCGTGCATCGTATGTAGAAAAAGTCGTATCATCCCATCCCTAGCTATAGGATGCGGTCAGTGTGCATATCCTGACCTGTTTGTACAGCCATCCTCGAACCACCACAGGGACATTGGGATTCCTCTTAATGGCCTGCTCTCTTTTCCCGAAGTTGTGCACCTTTCCGCTGGACCGGGAACCCTGCAACACACACACAGACATCCACAGGGGGCTTTGGTGAGATGTAGGAAAACATGATTAAAGTGTTCAGCATTGGCTGTGAATAGCTGACAATGTTGCTAATGAAAGATGTCGATTAAAAAAAAATGGATATCAAGTGCAGATGCTGATCAAGTAACTTCATTACTCATCTATCAGCTATTAGCCACAGAGCTAAACTAGCCCATGTGATGGCACCAAAGACAATCTGTAGTATTATAACACAGTACATCTACTGTTTGGAGCAGGACTATGGTTAAGGAGTGTCGGCGTCCTTAACCATAGTCTTTCTGTGTTTTCTGTGTCAGTAAATGATATTTGAAACAGGCTGTCTGCACCTCATCAGACATTCAGTCTTACTGAATGGACCTTCACCCACACCATGATTATATTTTTCAGATACTTCTACTTTTCTGCCCCAGTTGTTACATAATTACAGCCATTATTTGAGCACAGCCAATTTTCCACTGGACCTCTGTGACAGAGTTGGCCATGGCTACTATAACATTTGTCTGACTTTTACAAAGCCCCCATAGGTTATCATGTAGGAGTGGACATGTGGGCTGCAGGTCAGTGGTTCAACTCCAAGACAGACACCTGGGCAGTGAATCTGAATGGTTACCATCGGAAAGTGTGAGGCAGAAATTCCCAGAATGCTTCAGTGTCAGCTGTTACATAGGGTGGCAATGTGAACGTATCTAACTCGTTAAAAGCTAAGCATTACTAATGAAGGCAATGTTTCCTGCATAAAAATAAAGTTATGGCAGAAGAAGATAAACATTCTATCCCAAAAACAGCCACAGTAAGTGAAGTGTCCTTTGGCTGCCCTTGAAAATCACCACTAACTTGTTCAGCTGAAATATCCCAGCTCAGGTTTCACTGATAGTGGAAAGTCAGTATTTAAGAATGTAAGCCAGGGTCAGAACACACATTTCTCTAATTAATTTCACTACAACACCAGGTTATCATGTGCAAGGTCATGGAGAGCCTTTACCAGTTCACACTGGGTGAAAGCAGGGCTGCTACATTAAATTGGTAGTGAAAAGAGGCTTAAAATGGTCAGCTACAGTAAATCAGTGCAAAACAGGTGAAATTTGATTGTAAGGAGCCACCTGCACAGCCTGACGTAACCTTCCCAGTTGAGGTCTATTAGCAGTGTTTAACACTTCAGTATCCCACTCATCATTGTGCCAACTGCATTAATGCACAACCAGTGAAGCACATCAATTAGTAATTCATTATGCACTTTAAATATATTCTTGTGTTTTGGTTGCCATGCATCATTATTGTGTTTGTGTGTGCATGCCTGATTTATGTGCCCACAAACATACTTACACACTGTGCACCTACTCATGAAATCTCATTTCACCATCCTCTATTCTGAAGCCTCAGAGGAAAGACTACACACACATCAAACCTGCCACCTCCCTTACTGTTATTTTCATACAAAATTTGGTGTGACAGATGAGTGAGTGTGTATGTGGACTGGCAGCAGCACTGGGAGGTATCCTCAGCTGGAAAACAGCAAACACAGTCGCTAATTAGAGGGAGGCTATTGGCCAAGCATGATGCAAAGACAGAGTGGCTCCCATACTGTCACACTGGCATCCCTAATTTGTAAATATATAGTATGTGTATGTCCATGAATGTTTAATATGTTTGTCTCCACCTTGTGTCTCCAAATATGTCTGTGTGTGTGTGTGTGTGTGTGTGTGTGTGTGTGTGTGTTTGTGTGTGTGTATACGGTGCAGTGGTCTATTTTTAGGCTGAGGGTAATTTTGCGGAACAGACTGTGGTCCCCTGCTGTAAAGCAGCACTCTGTCTTGTAAGAGAGCAACTCAGGATGCAGAGCAGCTATTTGTTACATTAATAGGACATAATCAGACAACCTAAAAGCCTCCATAGCCCGGTCTGAGGTTGCCGGTTCAAATCCCTGGCCACAGAAGAAGCATCTGAGAGGGTGAGGTAATTAAAGAAGGGTAGTGCTTTCCCCTCCCTTTACAAATGTAGCTGAGGTATACTTGCACTAGACACTTAATCCCAGTCTGTTTAAAGCAGATCAGATCAATGATGAACAGCAGCTGAGTGGAGCTGAAGGTGGCAGCTCCCAAGAGTCAAACTGAGTCACTTTGAGTTCTGAAACGATTAGCCAGCTAACTGAATATACAAGTGACAGAACTGACAGCACTGTAGAACTGATTTTTATAATTATTAGTTTGCTTGATACCTTAAAGGAAATGTTTGACCTGCTGATTATGCTAAAAACTCAGAGAATTAACTACGTCATTGAGATTCATACTCTGGGTAACATGGATATCTGTACTGAATTTCCTGCCTTTTATCTAATATTTGTCAAGATATTTTGGTCTGGACCAAAGTGGATTCACTGACACTACCACCCTTAGAGCCACTAGCATGGCTAAAACATAACCCAATTAAAAAAATTTCAAGGCTGCAGTGAGAAACGCAAAGTGGTGAGCAAAATATTCTCTTACCCAGTGGGTTGTAAAATGTGAGCTGTTTAGCACTGATGATCTCCTACTTCTCACGGTGTTCAACTGTGTGAATCTAAAGCTTGGTGTGAGAAAGTTTGCATACTCATCATCAAATCCAGAATAGCAACTTTTTTTTTTTTTTTTACAGCTAATACAACAACTCGAATCAGAGACTTTTCAGTGACAAATCAGTCCTTTAATATCACTGACCAACAAAACAGGCTTATCATTTTAACTGGAATGTATTTGCTTTAATGTTCACTGTGGCACTTAATCTTAAATGGCAGAGAAAACTATTTACAAATATCGAGACAGGGCTCAGACGAGGTGCATAAAACTGCATACATTTGTAATAGCAAATGGGGACCTGACAGGAACTCAGACGGGACACTGACTTTGATAAATCCCAAAGAAGTTGTGCAGACTGGTTATGAACACAACACTAAAAATGCATGAAACTACAAAGAACACAAGTGCTCACAGGAGAGCTGTGACACATAACTGGTGGAAGAAATGGGATGAGCTCCCGATGAGGTGGAATGAATGCGACTTATTTAAAATGTGGATTCCTTTCTTAATGGCGGTATGCTGTGTAAGGTGCACACAAATGCCTCATCTTAGACAAAATTCTGTTGAGATTTTCTTGTCAGAATGAGGCTTCTGCACCATTTTCCTGCTGCTCGATGCAGGGGTGATGAGCCGGGGCACCTGGGAGGGCTGCAGGCCACAAAAAACAAGGCAAGTGATGGGCTGTTGTGATTGATGCCCTGTCATATCTGTACTGCGCCCAATGACACATGCTCAATCTTAGGCCTGCAGCACCTGTTGATAGGGCAGGATGAGATTTCATGCCACTGTGGAACTGTGTATGTGAGAGTGAGTGAATGAAAGAGTGCAAGATACAAACTGAAAGAAAGTGACAGTGAGGAAGAGTGAGAGAAGGAAAAGGGATGAAAAATGAATAAACAAGACCAAAAACAAGAAGAAGAATGCAGCCTAGATTAGATCAGTATCTGGAATTTGTCAACACCGCTTAAGCAGAATCGCTCCAGTGAATTTCCTAACACCAAACTGCCTGAGCCAGTGACAGCTTGAAGGAGGGGAAACTCAAAATAAAACCATCTTGTTTTATTGTTCCTATAACTAGTGTTGGAATGTGTGTGGGTTATGACGTACAGTAGGTATGCAGTGATCCACTATGAACAATTCTGATATGAGCACCAATTTAGAATCCAGCATGAAGAGTTGCAATGTGAATGTAGCCACAGCACTGCAGTCAGTGGCATGTTGTCTGTTGTCGTTGTCTGGAACAAAACAGGAGCTAATGAGCTCACTAAATGAAACATCTCAACAATACCCCTTCCTGCATGACAGCTAGGGGTCCACTGTAACTCTATTATACCTACCTACTTGGCTCTCAATCTCACTTTAATCAAACTAGAGCTATACCTACTCCATATCCACCAAACCTCCACCTCTTTATCTAGTAAAGCCTCATGTCCTCATTCGTGTAGGCCCGTCATGGATTCTGGTCAGTGGCAGAAAAACACTAAACCTCCATTCATCATCACCATCATCCACAGCTGGTGTGGGTCCACTGAAAACCAGGTCAGCGTCCACAAACAAGAGCGATGGCTCTAGTACTGCCAATTGTGTTAAACTTAACTCATACAATGTTACACATACACATTAACAGAAGACTTAACATCGCGGTATCACACACAGACCCCCAGTGTTTCGATGCATCATTCCCCAGCAAGGTCGCCCACACAGAACATGGCTGCCCCTTCATACTTTGATGTGCTTTAGATACAACCATAACAGCAATGCTAACCTTGGAGGCCGAGGTGGTGTCCACAGTGGAAGAGGTGATAGCAGTGGAGGCCTCGCTGACGGTGGCGCTGGAGAGCTGTTCACCCACAGGTCTGGACGTTATGCGAGCACCCTTTGGCCTAGATAGGAACAGACACACACAAAGGGTAAACACACGTTGTTTGTTATAATCTGAGTTGATATTGGTCAGTCACACTTTTTCTCCTAAGGGCTGGATGGTTGAGTCTAGCATGCAGCATCACAGGCCTGTACCCGTTAAGAGACACCAGTCAGCCTAAGCTAAGCTGTATGTCTTTGGACTGTGGGAGGAAGCCGGAGAACCCGGAGACAACCCACAGAGGCACAGGGAGAACATGCAGACTCCACAAAGAAAGGCCCTGGGTCAGCCGGGACTCAAACCTTCATACAGTACATCCATGGATTCACAGAAGAAAAATAAAGCACACAGCAGCAGTCTGTATTATGCAAATGTGCACTTCAACCTTTCAACTCTCAAATGTCCAATTTTTTAGGAACCTAGCACACATTGTACCAAGCTTATTTTCAGACTGACTGCCCATGCAGTCTTAACACTCAATCCAAAGGTTTACTGAAAAGATTTCAAAAGTCAAACTCACAGAGGACTACCAGAAGTTAAAACATAATCACCAAAACTGGATACAAGTTGCTGCTATATGAAAGCAGCAATCTATGTAGATAGCAGCACATTATGTAAGGTTGCAGTGAAACAGTATGAGGCCAGGACAGGCTATACAAACATCTGAGCTCAACGGACTGTGAATGAATGAGTCTCAACAAAACAAACATTCATGGATCAGCAGTGGCAGGATGATATTCACGCTGATATACAGACCTTTCTTAAAAATACAAAACAATAGTTTAATGGATATGAAAAAAGAAGAAAAAACAGTTTATGACACAGACAGGTTTTAGTTCTGTATTTACATCGCGCTGATCTTCTGATGTGAAGATAGCACATCAACAATATGGTGGCGTTGTGGTTAGCGCTGTTGCCTCACAGCAAGTAGGTTCCAGGTTCAAGCCCTGGCCGACCCGGGGCCTTTCTGTGCGAAGTTTGCAGGTTCTCTCCGGGCGCTCTGTGTCCCCCGCCTCTTGCCCGCAGCTGGCTGGGATTGGCTCCAGCCCCCTGTGACCCCGTTTGGGACTAAGTGGTTTAGAAGATGGATGGATGGACATCAACAATATCCCACTGAAATGACATCCATACAGTGTGCTGATTTTTGTGCACAGACACATGACATGTTGAGTCTCTGGAAGACTAGCAACAACTTTGTGGACACTAATGAGGATCTAAATAATGAATAATTAGCACTATGCTGCACTGATTCCCGTTAAATGTGAATGACATGTAAATATTATATCTGAAGGCTTAAGTTCTGAAGTGCCACTCGGAGTGCATGATGACAGCCGTGTTATTTCTGTGGTGAGACAGATGAAATGTTCCACGCTGGATGTTTAATTGTCAACAGGCTGACACCAGGCAGAGTATGTGTGTAAATGTCTGATTAGTTCACAAGGGAAAACACTGGGAGTGTAATGCATTCCTCAACCCAAGAATGCAACCCAGTTACCTAGTAGTAGATTTCTGTCTGACGCACACAAATAAATACATTGCATTTTTATTTCTGTAAACACAGATTCGGATGCTTCCCTATTACTGAGAACTACCCTTATAAAAAAAGCTCTGATTTGTTTGGTTTATAAATACTTTTTTGAAACTATAAAAATACTCTCCTTCCATCTCTGTATTTCTTTTTATCTTCTAAAGCACATTTTGTTTTCTGCTGTTACCATTCTCCCAGTATTTCTCTCTTTTTACATCTGAACAGTGAGTGCACTCTCATTTCTACCCCCCATATTACAGGTCGCACTGCAACAACAACACAACAGCCACCAGTTTCAGTACATTACCAACTTTTATCTGCAGATGAATAATGTAACCTGCTCAGTTATGCTGTGGGTGGACTGAGTATGAGAGAGAGACATTAGCTGTTTTCATTCTGCTGTTGAGGTAATTTCATGTAAACCTTTGAAAGGTCAGGAACTAGAAAATGTAAATTAGGTGCATTTTCATCAAAGTCAAAGTCAAAATAATGTATTTGCTGGGAAGACTTTAGAGACATTTTTGTTTTAATGTTTAGCGTCAGGGAAAGTCACTGTTCTTTGATTAGGAGGTAATGTTGGTTATAGTTTGAAACAGGAAAGCATAGGGATGGCTTTATGCTCTACTTGCCGATAAGAATAAAACTTTTTCATTAATGCTTTCTTTCTGTGACATTTGCAAAGAAAGAATTTTTAAAATGTAAAAAAAAGAGAATGACAAAAGTTTATGACCTCGTTAGAAGCGAGAAAGTAAAAAACAGAGCCTTTGAATTTGTCATAGAAATACAGTATTTAAAAACCAGTTATACAATTATTCTCCATATAAAGGCTCAGTTCTCCATAAAGGACACAGATTCTACTGGAAATCTGTTACATGCCTTTCTAGAGGAGTTCAACTTCAAGCTCAGGGAGGAGGAGCTCCTGAAACTAGCTCTTATTCAGGCGAGCTGGAGAAAGGTACAGTATGACCTGTCTTTTCTGTGAATTAATCTATATGCAAGTGTGTTCTGTCCAGATCCTTCATATGCTCAAAGTGGACAAGGTCATTGGTGGTAATCGGTTGACCTCTTTGCAGAAAGGTCAAAAGAAACCAAAAGGCAAATGGTCTGAGAGACAGAAAAAACTGGAGCAACAATGAAAAAAAAGAGTGTCTGTGAGGACAATTAATAGGCAAAACAAAGTACCTAAGTGACAACTTAAACTTTAAACATACTGTCTTTTGATATGTATTGTGTTTTAGGGTCTTTCCAGTCCATTTACTGCTTGTAAAGCTATTTAGGCAACATGGATTTTCACTAAGAATCCTCTTTGAACTGAACAAAACTAAATTCACCTCATCTATTACTGAGAATAAAAGTCAATATATCTCTGCCTGTGCTGCTTTGAGTCCCCCAATTTTATTAAAGTGCAATAATCAATCACTGGGGTATTGTTTTAATAACACTTCGCTGAAGGATGAATGTTGACAAATAAAAGAAAGTGCTGCAGAAATGGGACCAAACCGAGCAATCACTTCAGAAAATTCAAATCATCTACCCAAAATGCATTGGGCTGTTGTTTCACTCCATCTAAAGAAATGACATCAAAAGCAAAATCTTAAAAATAAACTGTGCTAGCCTCATATTCTAAGGCCAAAAAATGTAAATGTAGAGTACACTGTACTTCTCAGTCTACAGAGAAGAAAAACAGGTAGACAAACAACACACAAGGACACGTGAGACTAGCCTTTAGCAGCCCAGTCAGAGGATGACAAGGCAGGAACCCAGATCTAAAAAAATACTGCATATTAATCTCTCTCATAGATATTGGCAATGAGTCAAAAGTGAAACCACATAATGGGCTGGAGGGGATTTATTCATCAGCAG